ACACTGTTAGAAACAACCAAATGTGGCAGGAAGAAAATGGTATCCAGAAGTTGCCCTGACCGAGCCAGTCTCCTGACATGAACCCCATCGAAAACCTCTGGGCCATACTCGACCGGCAAGTCAAGAAACACCAAAAAAACCAAGAGTGGGCAAAAATCTCACAATCTAAAATTGACGAGATGATTCTCACGATGCCCCAAAGGATTAACGAACTCCACGAAGGCGAAAGGAAGATCTACTAGATATTAATTAAATTATAAATATATCAGTTCATGTGAATATGACTGAAAATTTTCATTTTCTCTGAAAAAGTTGTGTCTATTTACTTATGACCACGCTGTGTATATCTGTAGCATTGTAAGCCTTCAAGCTTACCGCTGAGCCACCTTGGGATCTCATGAAGATTCTAACTATTTTTTACTGTGACAACATAAGATTTTTTGTAAGGGAGTCTGGTGGGAGAAAACCACCTGTTGTTCATATGTATTAATATAAAATGATCAGCAATATTAACACTTAATCTATTTACTTGGTTAATGCATTTCATGTTAGATAGAAGATATATATGTGTGTGTGTGGGTGTGTGTATTGCAAGGTTAAAAAGTATATATTTTGTTATTAACTTGCATTACTCTACTTTTTCTGTAGTTTAAATAAATGTATTTTACAACATATAGAACCTTTTATAACTGTTTGCTAAGAGCAAGGAAATATCTTAAGTTTCACGCAGTGTTATTCTTAAATGTTATTTTAAATATACGGAAACTTTTATGAAATGTGCAAAAAAATTTTTAATATATTCAACTGCATTTGAAATGTTATATGTTACTTCTTATGATTTTTTAGCTTTTCAATCTTATGATTTTTTGTGTTTTATTTCTTTAGTTTTCAAAATAATTGCACTCACAGATAGCATTTCTTAACCACAATTGTGCATTTTGGGACGATCTGACTTGATTATTTTTATTATTCCAGGTGGAATTCAATGTACAAGTCCTGCAAAAGAAGTGCATAGTAATTATAAAATAATAATAATAATTTGTATTTTGTATCTACGGCAAAGGTACTAAGGCTATCTGAAGTCGTTCCTAATTTTGAATTACAGACCAGAGGGAAGGGCAGCCAACAGTAGCACTTTACCATCCACGTTAAAGTATTGATTGTAACTCTTATAACGCACCCACAGCTTAAAGTTGGTATGGCACAGATTCTAACCCGCTTCGCCAGTTCTGAAATCTAGAGCTAACCTGCACCCGAATAATAATAATGATAATTCCGTAAAAAAAAGAAACTTGTTTCGTTCACATCTAAATTGTAACTTACAATGAAATATTTCATTTAGTGGTATTGACCGTCACGTTATAACGCTCCCACGGCTGAAAGGGCGAGCATGTTTGGTGTGACGGGGATTCGAACCCGCGACCCTCAGATTGCTAGTCGAGTGCCCTAGCCACCTGGCCATAAAAGACCTTCTAGTAAATTGAAAGATCTCCCCCAATCCCCAAAATGCTCGCGGCGTATAACTTAAAACTACCTATTTTGTTGTTTCGTATACTGTGAAGCTATTCTTTTTATAAATTTCAATTATATTTCTTAAATTGTTGTTTTTTATCACAGCATAACTGCTTATTTTATACAATCGCTATCAAAATAAAAACCTATTACAGAAATATGGTTAGTCGTGATGTTTTTCGTTGGTAAAAGAGTAGCCCAAGAGTTGGCGGTGGGTGGTGATGACTAGCCGCCATCCCTCTAGTCTTACACTGCTAAATTAGAGACGGCTAGCGCAGATAGCCCTCGTGTAGCTTTGCGTGAAATTCAAAAAAACAAACAAACAGAAGGTCTTTTTAACAGACTCTGACTAATGATTTTTTGTATGATTTCAGCAGCAGCTTGATCAATTTTGATGACTTCAAAAGGCAAGTCCAGGTATCAAATATGGAAGTGACTAGAAATTGTATTTTGTTAATTATTAACTGCAGAACACCGTAAAACGAACTAACAGGTACACGAAGAAAAAGAATTTCAAAAAATAATAGCTCTGTTTATATATCTTACAAATTGTATTGCTTTTTTCCGAAACTTTTATCATTGTATATCACATGAAAACG